ATCAATAAGGTGGATGGTACTTTGCTGGTGGGTGAGGAGGCCCCTCGCCGGGCGGAACTGGAGATGTGGTTACAGGGTCATCCCGAGTTTGCTGTTGATCCCCGATTTCTAGCGGTGAGTGGCAGTTCCATCCAGCTAGGTTTAAAGTTTCTTGGTATTTAGGTGTATGAGATCTAGAAAGCATGCCATATTTTATACCACTGTTTCTGCATCTGCAAAATAAAGAATGATAACACCTAGTGTTATTTCGTAGAATCATTCTGAGATTCAGAACACTGTAATATCCAGGGAACTTTTTAAACTAAGTGTTTAGAAAGTGTTACTGTCAAACTATTATACAGACCGCCCTCCCCTCAATGTGGGGGAACAGAACCCTCTAATGGCAGTTTTCCACTATGACTAATCTTGAGTTACAGACTACAGGTTGATTGTCAAACAAAAGACAGTTTCCTCTAAGCTAACCGATTCTTTTCTATTGCAGTATATGGAGGAACGTAGAAAACAGAAGTGGCAGAGATGTAAAAAAAGCAGTAAGACAGAATTGAACTGTTTGGGAATGGAACCAGTACAGGCAGCCAACTCTAGAAATGGGAAAAAGGTGAGACTCCAGCACTTTCTCATGCTTTCTGACACTCTCAGAGGCTCAATGGTAACCTCCTCCCCCCATGTTTGCAGTAAAACTGCCTTGCGTTCACCAGGTTGCTTTCATTGGTATTTCCAGCTGTAGTGCTGTTGGTGTTAAAAGAAGTACCAAGGCTTATCCTTCCTTTCTATATAACTAAGGAATTTTTTGCAAGTCCTTTATATCTTTAAAAGCTGAGTGTTTTAAGCCCAGAATAGTGGTGCATACCTTTAATCCCAGCATTCCCCAGGTGAATCTCTGTGAGTTTCAGGCCAGCCTGATCTATACAGAGTTCCAGACTAGTCAGAGCCACATAGTGAGACCCTGTCTCAAAAGAAGTGGGTGTTTTAGAGTAAATACTAAAGAATAAACCCAGTACCTTAAACTTACTAGATAAAATACTTTATTGCTGAGTTACATCATCAGCGATATAATCTTCAAAGTTTTACAATTCCATATACTATAGGATTAATTGGCTGGAGTGGATGCTACTAAGAAAATTAGTTACAGGATTTCTTAACATACAGGAAATTCAGAATCATTAATAATATGTCAGTAACAGAAATAGCACAAGAAACCACATTTTATAACTGCTTGTCTTCATGTATGTCTGTGTACCATGTGCGTGCCTGCTGCCCTCAAAGGTCAGAAGGGCATCAGATTCCCTGGGACTAGAGTTATAGATTATTGTGAGCAATGTGGATGCTGAGAATCCAACCTGAGTCCTGGAAGAACAGCCAGTGCTCTTAACCACTGAGCCATCTCTCCAGCCCCCAAAACATATTTTTCAAATTAATACAAATTTTAGTCAACTAGACTATTTCATAACAAGCTTATAGACCATTTGGTAGTTTAAGTGTGCATTGTTTTTTTCTACCAAAATATAACTGTAAATTCCTCTTTATCATGCTTATGTTAATCTATATAGTTTATATATGTATATAATACATAGTACCTATTATTATACATTGTGTGTGATTTTATGTTATATGTTGACATGTATAGTATTTATACTATATAGTAGTTTGTAATAATATATTATTATAGTAATTTTCAAATATAAAGGAATTAACTTTAATCACGTGCATTCAGTTCAACCTATCAACACTTTGGGCTGAGGTAAAAGTGCTTGCTGCTAAGCTAAGCCTGACAACCTGTTCAGTCCTCAGAGCACAGAGCACAGTGGGAGGAGAGAACAAGCCATCAAGTTGTCCTCTGACCTCCATATACATGCTCTGAGAAACTCTCATGCCCATATACATCATAAATGTATACAATAATAATGAACATCTAAAAGGTTGTAGGACACCACAGGAAGTCATTTTATGATTAGTACAAAATTATCTTTTTTTCTTTTCTTCCTTTAGAAATAGATCTTACTATGTTGTCCAGGTTCTCTCCAAACTCCTAGGCCACAGTGATCCTCCTCCCTCTAGCTCCTCAGTAGCTGGGATTATAGACCTATGCCTCCCTGTCAGGTACAATTCTTAGTTCTACAGTTCTTATCTCTTAGGTAAAACTGGCAGTGATTCTAATGTTACATTATTACTGAGGCCTCTAAGAGTCTAGGCATTATTGTAATCATATTTTGACAATCCATGCCAGAAGTGTTAAATGTTCACTTTTCTGGGTCAAAAAGGTGTTTTCCATGTCAGCTGAACATTTAAAATTAAGCAGATATAAGATTTATTTTGTTGTAGAGGTTTATTAGTGTGCTTCTTGTCGTCCTCTCCTTTGTTTTTGAAATAGGGTCTCACTAAATAGCCCAAGCTGGCTTAGGAATAACTGTTTTCCAAGCCATCCTTGAACTCTTGGCAATTCTCCTGCCTTGCCCTCCAAAGGGCATGAGCCACCACACCCAAAGATAATATGTTTTTAATCAGTGGGGGAAATTTTTATTAAATTTGATGAGAAGTTCCCATAATCATCTTGGAGGTCTTACACTGCCCCGCTCCTATGTGATAATAGAGGATAATGTCAATGTCTGTGTGGTTGTGCCGTGTTTCACATAAGATCATGTCAAGAAGCTGCCGTCAGTCTAACTCAAGTACATTTTTCTGTGCATGTACTTACATTCACTGTCTTACTCAGACCCTTTGTTGCTAGCTAAGGAAAAAACATTTGTGAAACGGTTCCCTGCGATAAAGGTATGATGTCATGTGAAGGGGAGAAAACCTGGATTCACATGGCTATTAGTACCAAATTATTGATTTCACCCTCTATCAGAATGCTTCAGCCAGCTAACTACAGCATTTCTTTCCCCCATTACTACCAGTGAACCAAACCTGACAATTGAGCAAGCATTTCTAAACTCGCTAAGTTTCTGGGTGGAGTCCTATCTTCCCTACCCTCCTACCTCCATTTTTTTTCCCCCCAAGACAGGGTTTCTCTGTGTAGACCTAGGTGTCCGGAACTCACTCTGTAGACCAGGCTGGCCTTGAACTCACAGAGATCTGAGCCTCTGCCTACCAAGTGCTGGGATTAAAGGCGTGCACCACCACCACCACCACCACCACCACCACCACCACCACCACCACCTGGCTTAACCCCCATCTTTTTATTGTCTTCTTTTGGTCCTACCTCACAGGGTCACTATGCTGAAACTGCATTCAACCGGGTTTTGCCAGGGCCTATTGCACCAGAGAACAGCAAGAAACGTGTCCGCAGGACACGACCAGACCTTTCTAAGATGATGGCCCTGATGCAGGGTGGAAGCACCGGGTCGCTATCTCTGCATAACACCTTCCAGCACAGCAGCAGTGACCTACAGTCTGTGTCCTCTCTGGGTCACGGCAGCGCCACGCCTGCATCTTTGCCTTTTATGCCGTTTGTGATGGGCGGCGCAGCAGCATCCCCTCATGTAGACTCCAGCACCATGCTTCATCACCACCACCACCATCCCCACCCCCACCATCACCACCATCACCACCCAGGCTTGAGAACCACTGGCTACTCTTCTTCACCAGCTACTACCACCTCTGGTACTTCCTTGCGGTTACCAACACTGCAACATGAGGACGATGATGAAGAGGAGGAGGAAGAGGATGATTTATCTCAGGGCTACGATAGCTCAGAAAGGGACTTCTCACTCATCGATGATCCTATGATGCCAGCCAACTCAGACTCCAGTGACGATGCTGATGACTGAAGAACCCGCATAGTCCCCATTGCTGGGTGGCTGCTGGATTCTCTTCCTCTGGCCCTTGGACTTTCGAAATGTGGGAGGGGCAGGGAACAATATGGGGAAACCCAAGACTTCAGGAGGTGAAAAGGAAAAGAAAAAAAAAAAAACAAAACTTGTACCCGATTGCTCCCGATTTTGAGAGGATTGGGTGGGCAGGGGAACTCCTAAAAATAATAAATGACCACTTCCTCATTTCTGGGGAAGCAAAGGAGCCTAGAGCAGCTGGTGTGCTCGCCCCTCCCCAGACACCTCCATTAACCACAGACTATGTAGCGCTGGCCCTAGCCTCTGGCAGAGCCTGTTCCTGGCCAAACTGTGGATGCAGCTGGAGGGTCAGGAACTGTTACCTTCCTTCCCCTTGGCATTAATAAATTTAAGTTAATCCTTTTCCATTCTTCCCATGTTCTGTTTGCTCAAACACAATATAAATACTAATTTTAGGCATGTTGGATAATTTAAACACCACTCTCCTACAATTCAGTAGTTACCACGAATTGAAAAATCATTTGTACTCTGAAGGTATATATAATCGTGGATTGTCCCGTTTGCTAAAGCTAGGAAAATGATCCAAGGTAAAGAGGTAAATGTTTTGGGTTGGGCTCCACATTCACAAACGAGGATGAATTTCAAGATCACTTTTTTTTTTTTTTTTTTATTGGCTGAAACAACCATGCTTGGGGAAAGCCAAAGAATGGTGTTGCTTTTTTATGCAACGCAGCAAAGGTACGGGCTGATAGAAAGAGTGCTGTCATAACTCGGGTCTCCAGGGGACTGGCAACAACTAGAGTTCGGAACCCCTCAAGCCGTTTCTCTTCCTTCCGTCCTACCACTCAACCTCTTAAAAGCAGCCTGAATAGTTTTCCTACGCCGCCCTCCGCGTAGCTCATTCGCGAAGGTGGGCTCCGTTTCTCCGGTGTGCAGGGTGGTTTGGGGTTAGAGCGCCTTCCCTCGGCACTCACAGCCCTGCCCTGGGGCAAGGCGAGAACTCCGCTCTCTGGCGCCGGGTCGGCCGGTCGCACACGCGGGTCCCGCTCTTTCTGCTCCCCTCCCGCCTCCTCCCGCCGCCCCGAGCGCCGAAAGGGGGCGGGTCACGTGACGGCAGCCCCGGGCGGCGGCGGCGGGGAGACGTTCCAGGCCCCCGCCCTCCGCCCGCCCCCGCGAACCGACTCCGCACGGCGCGTCCTGTTGACTTCTCCACTTCGCCGACTTTCTCAGTTCCGCTTCCACCCCACCGAGCGAGGGACTTTTTTTTTCTTAAGTCTTCGACGCTATTGGGACCCGGAAGCGGAAGGGGGTATCGTGCGGTCGGTACTTCCGGGTCACAGAGAGTGCGGGATTCCGGGCCGAGCGCGGGTGGCGGAGCTGGGACCTCGCGTGATTCTCGGAGCCCGACGGGAAGCGGCGTCCGGGGCTATGGCTGTGACTCTGGACAAAGACGCGTACTACCGGCGAGTTAAGAGACTGTACAGTAACTGGCGGGTAAGGAGCCCGGCGTCCCCGGGAGCCCCACATCCCATAATAGCCTGCTTCCCGGCGCCCTTTTCCCCTCGGCCAGGAATCTCCGGCTCCGCCGCGCTCCCGCCCGCCCCGGC